AATTATGTTTAAATGAACACGATTAGACCACTGGTATAGCTAAATCTATAAGAAAATAAATCCTACTGTAGCAGTGTTTGAGTACCATACCTAAATTGAAAGGTGGAAATGTCTTCATTCCTTATATATGTAAGGTAAATTATTGTAATTGTAGTAAGAATTTATTCCTCTGAAGGCTCTTTATTCACAAATGGAGTCTTGACAGGCGTCCAATGGTAATGACAGGTCCTTCCATGAACTCCCAGACAAAGGAAACGTGGAACTACCCCCAGGATCAGAATGAAAATGGATTTGTTTATAACATCACACGTCTTTGGTTGAGGGTATTCATTTCAACCTGAAGTGTTGCTAACTTTGTAGATCTGACCTCCACATCTGCAAATGCAAAGTTCAGGACATGACAGCCTTGTAACTGACGGCTCTTTAGTGCAGTTGGTGGTGGCATCTTAAAGACAATGATTTTACCTTTCGTGACAACAATAAAAGCTACCTAGGAAAGTTTTTCTAAATATAATTCCAAGATTATTTTATCAATAAAAATATTAATTGATAGCAAACCTAGTCACCTTTTCTTCTCCACTTGCTCTTGTTTCTATTCGTTTGCCATTTTCTTCTCACCTTAGTTCTATCTCATTTAAAAGCTCGTGGGGTGGGGGTGTCTCTTTTTTACATTGGAGAACATTTAAAATGCCATAATTAAACTTAATTTTTTCTACATTTTAATATAAGCTAATGTTTTAAATACAATTAAAAATATTTAATATAAGCTATATATAAAAGAATCTAATATACATAACACCTGGCATTAAGTAGGTACCCAATATATGTTTAAATTTTAAAGAAAAATAGTTACTGAAATAATAGAAAGAGTGAAATACCAGTTTTCCTAAATTGTTGCTACAAATTGTATCATATGAATGTATTAAAGAATGACTTACTGAAAAAAAAATGGGTCTATGAATGCTTATTAGAGTTTTTCTGTAATGAGTAATTGTATGTGTTCTTATGTTTTATCTAATTTCTTTGCCCATTTTGCCATGTAATTTACTCAGTACATCTGTACATTTTGATTATTTTGTTTACAATGTTGGATAAGAGGGTTAAGTCATAACAAATAAATTACACATTTTCATAGTAAATTAATTAGTATTATATGGATTTCTGCCCAGTGTTATAATACAGAACATTTGGTCTTTAGTGTTTTCTTTAGACTGTTAAGCAAATATGGACACAGAATGAAATTTAAAACATGTCTTCCTTCAGTGGTAAGAACTCTTTTAAAAGAAATAAGCAAAATATTATGCCTATACCTTTCCCATGTGCATGAACAAGGCTTGCCAACCTGTGGGCTTCTTCGGAGAACAATCGGGCAAGGATAAGGCTCTTTTGTTGGACAATCTCCCTTGTGAGTCTCTGAAGATCTTTTCTGTGAGGCTATTCATTCCTCCAGAGAGGACTCCTATGGTCTCTTGCCTGGAAAGTGGTGTGAGGAGTATGGAGCTGACTGCCTGGCTGCTGGGATAGGAGTAGCCAGGTCAGGGGGTCTCTCCCCTGCCCTCCATTGTGCCCGTGGTCATGCTCAACCTGGAGTCTCTCTGGTTCAACCCCAAAGGAAAGTAAGCCTTCTGTTTGCTGATGGGCTGGGAGGAGCAGTATTCACGTGGCTGCTCAAAGTTTAGGCGAGGACCTGGGTGTCAGCCCATCACTTCCACCCTGCCTTCAAGCCTGCTGTGCCTCCAACCCCACACCCATCTGGGGAATTGCAATGCGCCTGAGTTGCTTCTCGTGGTATTCTTCTGGATGCCACTTGTTATTCAGTTGTAGCAGCTTTGCCAACTGCCTCACATGCTTTTTATCACCTCCAAACTCATTGACATTGCATGCCAGGTGTTTTCTCTCTCCCTTTCTCTTCGACCTTGTCAACTCATGTCTTTTCCATTTTTCTTTACTCTTTTGCTAGTGGGATTTTGTGAGAAAGAAAAAATAAATTCACATGCTCAATCCAACAGAAAGTCCCTGACTCCTTCTTGACTCTTATTTTCAAAGATATGCTTAGCCCGTGGTTTTCCCCTTGACCAGGATAAGCACGGAGGGGGCAGTACGTTGTCACTGCAAACAGACTGTAGTGTTATGGCAAGGAAATCACATTCTCTGCTCTGGGAAAGGTTTGCCCTCCTGGGGAAAATTTTCTGCATAGGCAACAACTAAAAATTTTTCAGGGTCACCACAATAAGTCAGATGCTGGGGATAGGACCATTAGCAAGGTGTGGCCTTTGCCTTCCAATATCTCATTGTAAGCAAAATCACATGGACCTAGGGAAGCAGTTGGAGAGGGACATGTAACAACTGACCAAAAGATAATTCCTTCACCTGGCTCAGTGTCTAGAACATAGTAGTTGGGCAAACAATGTTTATTGAGTGAATAAATGCTACACTGGTCTGTAAATACAGTATGGGACCACAATGGAGGAAGTAATTAATTTTGTTTTGAGGGGTGGTTTGGGAAACTTTAGTTTTATAGTTAATTACATATGGTTTCATGTAACTTAGTTTATATTGTCTTTAATTCCCATTTTAATATTTTTATTTCTTCCTCAAAACATTGCCTTGTTGAGGCAACTATGTATTTTTTTAAATTTTTAATTTTAAAGATTTTATTTTATTTTTTTCCTTTTTCTCCCCAAAGCCCCCCAGTACATAGTTGTATATTCTTCCTTGTGGGTCCTTCTACTTGTGGCATGTGGGACGCTGTCTCAGCGTGGTTTGATGAGCAGTGCCATGTCCGCGCCCAGGATTCGAACCAACGAAACAGTGGGCCGCCTGCAGCGGAGTGCATGAACTTAACCACTCGGCCACGGGGCCAGCCCCATAGGCAACTATATTTTATTCTTCCACAGCATGTAGCGTAGTGTTGAGCAGATAGCTGAGGAGAAGTAAACGCTCACCGACGCTAACATGCCCTAGGACCGCTTCAGTTTTAGTGCAGCTGTCTTCTCTCCCACCAGGTTAACCTAATGTTCCTTAGGAGAAGTACATGACTCAGGAATAAACAAGTCACAGCCGTGTTCAGGAGTGAGCGTGATGTTCACTGGAGAAGGCCAAGTAGGAGGGCCTCTATACCTCTCTGCGGCCTGTTTCCCTGTTTATAGCAGGGTTTATATGTATATAGAGAGGAAGGCCATGTAGAGTACAGGTTAGGGCCATGGGCCTTCAAGGGGGAAAGCCCTCAGCTCAATTGCTGGGTCTTCCATATACCTGTTGTGTGATCTTAGGGAAGTGACAACCTCTCTGATCTATCCATTTGTGTGATGAAGATAATAGTGCTTGCCTTATAGGATTATTTGAGGATTAGGTAAGGTGCTCCTAATATGCATAGCACAGCTCTAGGTATGTAGTAAAAAAAAAGTCAGCCATAAGTAAAAATGTGTGAAGTAAAATTATACAGTTATATCTAGCAGATTCTTTACTACTCTCAGCAATACACAAATTTCACATATTCTAAAAATTCGCATTGAATTTTACAACACTTCCCAAGGTGGCCATGCATGCTCTTGGTCAGTGAATATAAGTGCCCCTCCCATTCTATAACTGTTTTTGTCGACCACAGAAGGACTGAGAACTAACAACCTACTTTATCAACAGGAACTAAAAAAAATTTGTCTACTAAGTCTTTAAAACAGGGGCCAGCCCAGTGGCGTAGCAGTTAAGTTCACGTGCTCTGCTTTGGTGGCCTGGGGTTTCCTGGTTGGGATCCTGGGCGAGGACCTAGCACCGCTTATCGGGCCATGCTGTGGTAGGTGTCCCACATATAAAGTAGAGGAAGATGGGCACGGATATTGGCTCAGGGCCAGTCTTCCTCAAAAAAAAAAAAAAAAAAAGAAAAAGAGAAAGTCCTTAAAACATTGCTTCTCAAACTTTGCTGAACACTGGAATCAGCTGGAAGTCTTTAAAAAATTCCAGGGCCTGCTGCATATGACTTTTAGACATTTGATTCAATTCCTGGGGATGGATATTTTTTTTTTAAAGCCCCCCAAATGATCCTAATGGGCAGCAAACTTTAGAAACCACTCCTTTAATTACATAAAAATTGTGAAAGAGATTCATGAAAAGGGGTCACAGGTTGTATAAGAATAAAATTAGGCTAACAAATAAATAATTCAGTTGGTCCCAGTTCTTTTTTTTAGCAGAAACCTTAGGTGTAAAATTTGTTTGAAGATTATGCAGATATTTCTGTCCTCCTAGGCTCCTTAGCTTCTAAAATTGATGAAAATTCACCACTGGCAGCACACAGAAGTTATTCTGAGGATGAGCAAAATTTTTCATTGAGACTCATGACTTCAAGATTGATTTTAAAAATAATCTCAAGAAGAGAGAAAGTTAATTTTCCTCTACAACTTTAAACAGAGCTTAAAGTTTTATATTTTCTTGATATCTTGCCTATACATTGACATTAAGAAAAACAATGCATATCACCTCCTGTTGCTTATAACTTTTTCTTTCTTCTTCTTTTAAAAATAAAAGCATATACAAAATGAGTACTGTTCATTTAGCACTAGTTGTATGTGAGGGTGTCTAAAAATATTGCACCCAAATCGACACAGTCCTGTAAGGTAGGGATTATGATTTCCATTTTACAGATCAGGAGCATTTTTAGTATGTTGCCTAAGGTCACACAACTAGGAAGAGGCTCAGACAAAACATGGACCTAGGTCTTTGTGCTTACAGAATCTTCGCCTTTTCCACACCTTCTTACAAGCGGCACTTAGGACCACACAAAGAGTCAGAGTCCCTCCTCCATTTTTGCAAGTGAACAGGTGCAGTTCTATTTAGGTAGCAGTGAGCATCATTCTGTGAGGGGGGAAGCCTGGGAAAGCTCAGGAGAATTTCCTTAGCCACTCTCACATTAGAGATGGCCTGGATGGCCTTGGGTCTGAACCCAACTCTGGTCTTATGAAAAATTCACAGTAAATAAGTTGATGAAATTCTTCTTGTTCTTGCAGTTCTTTCAATGGGGACTATGGCGATGATGTCCAGTTTCATCCTTGTCACCATTACTCTGGTAATAGGCAGGGAAGCCTGGGTAAGTTCGTTAAACTATTCTTGCATTTCTAATGCTGGCTTTGACCTGAATTTTCCTTTATTCTGCAGAAAACCTATAGTAACTTGTCACTGAAAGAACTTAAAGGGGGAAAATTGAAAAAGGTTTGTGGAAGCACCTGCCACATACTAGGCACTTTACCAAGTGCTTTAAAAAAATTTAGGCAAAAATCAGTATGCACAACAAATAAAAATCTTTTTGAATTTACTGGAGTTATTCGGGTGGTTACATAATATTAGGAATTTAAAACTGTCCGTTAAAATTGACCTGGGGCTTTCCAATATTAGACACTGTTAGTGTAAACTAAACAGATTATTCGAAAGTAATTACAACGATTCTATCATCCTCTATTCATGAGTAAAAAGGAGAAAATACTCATTTACTCAAAGCTCTGGGAAACTCCTAAGTTTTAAACAAGCTTACTAAAACCTTCTGTGCAGTCTCATAAAGATTGGATATGCTCACCCTGTAATCCCTTCGGTTACTTTTAAATTGCATAGTCCGCTATATTTAACAATATCACAACCAATTTCCTACTATTGGAAGGCAACAGAGGATTCCAGATACCATAAAGGGTCTTTCCTGTTTATTTTTTAGACAGGTGTGACTCAGGAGGCTACCCAAATAATTCTTTCAGAGAGGATCAATTGAAGAGTGATGAGGAGAGAGTACCAAGAGTGAAGAAGAAACAGTCTAGAGAAATAGCTGGGAGAGACTCAGCAGCTTGGGCCTAAAGATGAGAGGCAGGAGGCCGCTACCATCACTTCTCCATTCTCTTGCTATACACCTTTCAGTCTGGAGGCTGAATTTCTATATTTACATTATAGTCCTTCATAGGAAGGCGGTGTGTACTTCTTTCGTTTGTCCCGAGTAGGATATCTACTTGTGCTGTTCTGACTGCCTGGCAGAGTGCATGGAACACAGAAGGTGCTCATATTTATGGAATGAATACAAGGTGGCACATAAGGATAGGAACAGGAAGTAATGCAAATATAAATTGGGAAATAGATCTAATTATAATCAAATGCCTGTTTTAGGAAATAATGTATATATAGATGGTGTAAGGCAATTACACATTAAAATTCGTAATTTCTCAGAAGCGAACATTTACACTTATCACAGGAGATCATGACAGGAGCCGCAGATAGAGATGTCAAGGTAAAAATAGAAAAATGGAAAAAATGTGTCTTTTGTCCTTTTTTTCACTGCCCTGAGTAACTCCTCCAGCATTGGGTACTCAAGAGCCTTCATTGCGGCTTCTTGGCCTCAGTACCTTGTCCCAGGAGACCCACCTCTGTAACTCTCCTTCTAATTCACCCACCGTATTTGCTTTATCTCTGGAGAATTCCGCTTAGTCAGATGCCACTTTAGAAAGGAGCTGATAAATTCTTTCATGTGCAATGTTCTTGGGTTGTTTGTCTTTTTAGAGAAGAAAAATGATTTAACTGGAAGACTCAGGCTCCTCCCTTCCCTTTTTGAAGTTAACTCAGGGAAAAACAACAAATAAGCAAAAAGTTCAAGTAACTCCAGTGGAATTTCCAGCAATAGGTACATGGGTGAGATGCTTAGGGGTATGAGTCTAAACTAGTGTCCCTTATAAAGGTGACCAGATATCATCAGATTATAGCATTCAATTATATTTTACAACATATTAATATCAAAAGATTATTCAAAAACCTCGTTTATTTCAGGGATGGACATACTAATGATGTGTAATGATGCTAGAAAGCACTTTACTGTTAAGAAAGCACTTAGGCGGCATCATGTAGAGAGACTGAGAGCAGGGACCTAGACCCGGGTTTGAATCCTGACTCCTCTTCCCCACTGGGGACTCTTGAGCAGGTTTGCTCATTGTAGTTGAGCCTTTCCTACCTCATGGAATCATTGTGAAGTTCAAGTGAGGCAATGACTCTAAAGCTCTTAGTGTAGTCATTTACATTATTTTATATAATTTTTTAGTCCAAGCACTTTTGCATAAGCCGTCATTTCTTATTCTTCAAACAATAAATAGTATTAGAACTTTCAAACTACTTTCCGGTTAGAACAATATTCTAAAATGTGAGTTAGGGCCAAAATTGAATCATTAATTTATCTGACATTCAGAGCATTTACTTTCCATGAGAACGAGATGTGTGTTGCTTCGCAGGCTCTCGAGAACTGTCTCCAGGAGCAGGCGCGGCTCCGAGCCCAGGTGCACCAGCTTGAGACCCGGGTCAAACAGCAACAAGTCAAGATTGCGCAGCTTTTGCACGAGAAGGAAGTCCAGCTCCTCGATAAAGGAGAGGAGAATAGCGTCATTGACCTTGGAAGCAAGAGGCAATATGCAGGTCAGAATCTGTTTTTCTTGAGTGTTGCAGTAACTTATATCATTCACCCATGTGCAATGTTGGTACTAATTATTGATCACTTTCAGGCTTTGCTAAAGAGCTTTTCCTAATCCAGTAACAAGCAACATACAGAATTATACTGCACTGAAATATCTTCTACCATATCTTATCCTTTTTTCTCTATTATTGCTGCAGAGGACATTTAATATCAATGCTAAATATCTGAGAATTTCTATAGTTTAATACAAGATCAAGACAACAGATTGTTTCAATCTCCGTGTGCCTACGGCAGATTCTATTTGTGAAATTTTACAGCTGAACTTTGTTTTTATTTGTTTATCATTCTTGTTACATTTACACAGCTTTCCCTTCTGTAACCCTAATGTGCCTTAGAATAGTAATAGAACAAAAGGACGGGGAAGGAAAAAGAACCAGCATTATTTAGGAGAATAAAAGAGGTGGTTTTATGTGAATATTTTATGGTTTGGTATTTTTGTTTTGAAATCAGCATTTCCCCCTAGAAACTAAATGATCTTCAACTATCAACACTTTGCACGTATCACTGCATATAATAATAATATCATTTTCCCTATGGGAAACTACTCACCTGAATTCCTCCAGGCATCTTTTAAAGTAAACAAATGATGGTTGTCAGAAACAATGAGAATGCCGCCTAGAGTACGTGGTTCATATGTCTACTCTAGCTACTGCCACGATGCATTGTAACTTCTCTATTTTGGAGTCTCTATTGGTCAATTAACTGGGCACGTTGCAAGGTCTAGGATGATGTTTAAAGCACTCTTCCCTCCTTCTTGCCTATCGGAGTGCCTAGAACGTAGTAGAGACTCATATTTATGAATGAAAGCAAGGTGGTACATAGAGATAGGAATAGCAAGATAAGCAACTATAAATTGGGAAATATATCTGACCATAATTGAAAAACTGTGGAGGCTAAAGAAATGCCAAGTTGATGAGAGTAAAAATACCTTTTTTCATATTTCTAAATATCCTCACCAGTGTGGGATATAAGAGTTGTGAGAATCTTCGAACCTATGCTTCAGTAAAATGCCCCCTATTGCTCTCTTAACCAAGGTTCTATTCTCATTCTGCTCAGACTCTTTGCCCTGGGATCCCGACCCTCTGTTGTCCAGCAACTTGATCCTTTACCCTTGATCCTTGGAGTCCAAATGTCCTGCTCCTCTTTAGGGGTCAAAAGGAGGCCAGAGCCATTTGCCTGTGGTGATGGGAATGGATAGGATGAGGTTGACCTGTGGCTCTGGAGCGTGGAACAAAGAGGAACCAAACACAGCTTGGGTAAAAACAGGCTTGGGAATCAAAAGGACTGTCTGAAGCAGTCACAGGGGCAAAGAACCAGGAACTGGAATCTAAGAAGAGAACTACAGTGGAGATTAGGCAAGACAGTGAAAGAAGGCTCAGGAAAGCAATCAAACAGGAAGCAGAGTCAGTAGAGACTCCTTCAAGACTGGGATTCTCAGCCAGGACTACCCATTAGAATCATCTCGTGACCTTTTAAAATGCAGATACCATAAACAACTGGGAAGGGTCTGGGATTTTACTCTATTTGCAAGCTAACAAGTTAGCCTGCCACGGTTTTATGGACGTTGGCAGAAGACAAGAGACTCCTGGGTCAGAGACGTGAGCTTCATGTTTGCACCAATATCCTTTGCCTGAAAATGCTAAGGGAGAAGTGTGGACTAGTCCAGATGGGAAAAGTGCAGGCAGTGGGCTATGTCACAGCTGAAGAACCCTGAGTTTAGAATCCTCAATCTTTTATAATGGGTTGCAAGCAAATCTGCCCAGCCTTTGCCCCAGAGGGAGATGTTATCTTTATCATGGTGGACAGCAAACTAACCTGTCATCTGCTCAAGGGGGAGACACTATCTCTAGCTTCCAAGGCCGTTCACTATACAAACATCCCTGAAAAAATAGTCCAGAACATATGCTTTGCTTGCAAACTGCACGGAAACACAAGTGATCCATGGGAACTGTCTGCAAGCAGTGGCTAGGTTCCACTCCAGACCAATTAAATGAGAATCCCTACAGGTCTGAAAGGGATTTTCTGCTTTTGCTGATGGGTGTGGTTGAGATTGTTCAAGACCTGAACCAGGTCAAGCTTCTCACTAAATTTCTTCCCACAGACTGAGAAGGGCCGACGTTTCCTGGGGTCACCTAGTAGAAGGCTTTACTTCTTTTCAAGAAGGAGGTGGGGTCCTGTGGCAGTTCGGTGCCCTTTTCATTGGATGAGGTTTGGGGCCTGGTAACGTAGTCAGGTATCCACCCAGCAGGCGTCAGATACCTATCCTGAGACTATTAAAAATGTCAAAAAGACACAGATTTTAGGGGAGGATCTCACTGGGTTAATTGGGCCAATCATTGTGAATGACAGTGTTGGGTCACAGAGAAGGGGGCAACCAGAATGGTCAAAGGGCCATTTGATGGATGACTCTCTGTTTTATGGGTTGAATTGTGTTGAAAAAATGCTGAAGCCCCTAACCCTCAGTTCCTATAAATGTGACTGTATTTGTAGATAGGGCCTTAAAAGAGGTGCTTAAGTTAAAATGAGGCCATTAGGATGGGCCCTCATTCAATCTGACTGATGTCCTTATAAGAAGAGAAAATTTGGACACACAGAGAGACGCTAGGGATGTAGGTGCACAAAGGAAAAACCGTGTGAGGATGCAGTGAGAAGGCAGCCATCTATAAGCCGATGACAGAGGGTTCAGAAGAAACCAACCCTGCTGGTACTTTCATCTTGGTCTTCCAAGCTCCAGAACCATGAAGAAACAAATTTCTGTTGTTTAGGCTATCCAATCTATGGTCTTTCATTATGGCAGCCCTAGAAAATATAATATACCTTACATTGCCTTACACAGCAGCATCTAACCCAAGAAAGTAGTACCTTGATAAAGAAAAGTAGCTAGAAGTGTCCTTTAGTCAGGGCTCAGGGCCAAACAGTGAATATTCTGTCATTGATTCACTAGAGGATTTCTTAGAAACCCTACTGAGAAATCTATGGTTTGTTCAGAACCTGACTGGTCAGTAGAATGTCAATGAAGTCAGGGATTAGCAAAAGTAGTAGGGCTGAGGGCCGTGATGGCTCTGAAACGGAGTATTCTTGGTGGAGAAGTAAAGCAAGTTTGGAGTAAATTCATCAGTGGTGAGATAGGTAGACCAGTTGGCAGGCGATATTGTGAGGTAGCTTCTAGGCTCTACAGTCCATTTGATCACTCTTCTGGATAAGCAGGGAGTGGACAGGTGGACTTTACATTTTGAACATTGCTTCCAAAATCCAGGAGACACATTTAATGTGTCAATCAGGATCACATGACTTTAAATGTGTGGTGGAGGATGATCTTGTCAATGAACAGATTGTCAGTGACTGGTACAAACGGGGAAGCCCTTTCAAGGAATAAAATGTGCCGTCTTCAAAAGAGTGTCTACCATCATCAGGATAATGAACTTTCCAGGAGATATCAGTCAGTGAAAGATGTAAAACAGCAAATTCCTCCCTCAGGAGTATCTGAGGGTGAACAGAGGATACTGAAGAACACCCCATCCCACAGGACAGTGGCACATGCCTTCCTAAACAAGACCTGGGCTATGGCATGGCTTTGGCTTCTAGTCCAAGAGTAGTAGTCAACTGGTCCCATCCACTGCCCAAGTCTGTGGTCAGTGGTGGCCATACTATGACAAATGGGGCCAACAAAGATTGGTTTAGGGGCCAGCCCCATGGCCAAATGGTTGAGTTTGTGTGCTCCGCTTCAGTGGCCCAGGGTTTCGCTGGTTCGAATCCTGGGCGAGGACATGGCACCGCTCATCAAGCCACACTGAGGCAGCATCCCACATGCCACAACTAGAAAGACCCACAACTAAAAATACACAACTATGTACCAGGGGCCTTTGGGAAGAAAAAGGAAAAATAAAATCTTTAAAAAAAAAAAAAGAAGATTGGTTTAACTTTTCTAGAAAGCCCAGCTAAATTTGGAGCCACGGACTGTCTAGCCAAAGGAGAAGTAGCAATAACATCTCTACTTCCTCTGCTAAGCGTGAAACCAGACAGGCAACCTACAAAGCTGGCAAATTCTAACATAACTGACTCTAAAGAAGAAAGTCTAGAAGGATCTCTGTTGCCAGTGAATTTTCCTAGAGGGACAGCAGAGGCTAATAGTGATAGAGAGTAGAGTACACACCGGCTCTGGGCTCCATTGCAGTGGCCTGGATCTGCCTGCTGTGGATGTCCCTGCCCTTAGTCACCCAAACACAAATGAGCGGTCTATTTTTAAACCACGGTCAAGTCTTGGGTATTGTTTGCAGAATGGATTGCAGCATTACTAGCAGCGCTTCCTTAGGCAAGTTATTTAACATCTCTATGCCTCAATTTTCTCAGTTGTAAATGAAGATGATAATGGTATCTAGTTTATAGGATTATTATGAGGATTAAATGAATGAAGACACGTCAAGCATTTAGAACTGGGCCTGGCACCCAATAAGTGCTCATAAATATAGCTATCATTATTTTTTTTAATGTTTCAAAGATAAATTTTGTTACACAGTAAACTAAACACAAGACTAGAGGAGATCCTGACAAAAATGAACAGATATGTCTATCGTTGTCTATTTCTCTCCCATCCCAATTTCCTCTGGGAAGATGAATATAAAGTCTTTGACATTTCAATTTGACACAACCCCCCAGATGACCTTGAATTTGCTGCTGTCACCCTCTCCCCCTGTTGTTCTGTCTCCTGTAGTACCCCACATCAGAAAAGCGGTCAGGGCTGGGGGAGGGGAGATCAGAGGAAGCAGCAATCAAAACCTCCAAGTGCATGATCAAAGCTAGAGAAAAGAAGAAGGTGGGGGTGGTGCAAGAAAAGGAGAGAGAAGAGAATACAGGAAAAATATGGAGGAGAGTCTTTGATTCCAGGGACGACGCCTCTTCTAGACACAGGCGCTTAATATGGAATGATAAAGAGTTAAAAGTGTGTTTGGTGATGGAGGGGTAGCCCTGGCTGAGAGATGCTGGTATTATGAGTGTACCAGCTTTGTGGAGGAAGCGTAGCTATTCGGTCAGAAGTATCTGACAGAACTAGAATTTGGACATTGTCTGTTGTCACATGTCTCTTTTGCATGCTACAGTCCCAGTACACTAAACTTATTTCAATATCTCAACAGCACCCTGCTCCCTTGAGCCTTTGGAACTCTGCATTAGCCCTTTTCTCTATCTAGAATGTCTTCTCTACTCAACCCCTGCCCCATAAGCTGACTCCCACTATTCATCCTTCAGACCCCAGCCCTTCAGGAAACTTCCTGTCTCTGAAGTCTGGATTAGGTACCACTTCTATTCATTCCAAATCACCTTTACTATTCTTTCTTAGCACTGATCATGGAGTATTGTCACTGCATACTTTGTCATCTTTCTCCCCTGCTAAACTGTTAGGTTCTTTGTATCTTTAGCACCTAACATGGTGACTGACATATACCAAATGTTAAAGCATATTTTCAAAATTTAACTGGTGGAACAGATCAGGTGACAAAAGTGAGGGAAAACACTTCAAACAGACCCATGGGGTAAAACAAGACAGCTATTGAATAAGGTTTGAGAAGAAGGCAACAGGTTGGTTATTCAAGGGATGAACATACAGATGGTGATTCCAAAGGTAGGTACAAAACTGACCTCAAGGGAAGGAACTGATGGCCGCAGGAGAAGTAACATAGTCCACATTCCAAATCAAGATCAAGACCCAGGGTGTCTGTTCAAACAGTATGAGCAGGCTGTCAACACAGATTCAAGTGTCAGATAATGGCAGGAGCGAGCAACTGGATGTTGTTACTGGGACTGGGCCGCGAGTCATGAGAAGACTGAGGCTGAAGAGCTGAAAATCTGATCCCTGTGTTGAGAGTGCTGGGAGCAGACCTTAGGAAACGAGAGGTCACCAAGGAGAAGGCAGGAAATCAGTTCCCAAGAAAGTAAAACATCACAGTCAGAGCAGGATGAGGGGAGAAGCAGAAATTGGGTGGAAGAGTCAGATGTACAAGATCTAGACAAGCCCTTATATTGTGTGTGTGTGTCTTATAATATTATAACACATATAATAAGATAGATGATAGGCATTCCAGATGACTTTTTCTGGATATAACAGCTAAAAAAAATTCAGAATTTGGTAGATCTATGTTTAGTATTCTTTATATATGGTACAAGCATGAAGGAGGAGAAGGAGGAACAAACTGAAATATAAATACAGCTTAACTGTATTTTATTGTGCAGCATATAGGCAAATAGTACTAGAGAGCCGACCAAGGGCAAACACTCAATTAAAAATACATAATAACATAAATTCTAATAAAATACATAATATATTATAACATATAACATATATATTACATATTACTACATATAATATACAAAATATATGAGAACTTGCTTGCACCAGAGTTTATATTTCTGGTGTCCTTAAATTAAAAAAAATTAAATACTCATGTACATGATCTATAAAAATATAAAGTTTTTTGGTCTTATTTACAAGTTACTCTATTATTACTAAATTAATTGTTTTCTGCATTCCGATTCATCTCATGGTAGAAAACACCTAATTACACACAACCTAGCAATTTGTGAAAACAATGCACAAATCACATGATTTTTATACAACATATAATTAAAAGCATCTTTTTTTTAAGCTTTCGGGTGCTATTGAATTACGTACCTAAGTTAAAAGATTATAGTACCAAATTCACATTAATTGGTAACAATCGCAACAGCCTGTGGCATCACAACATTCTGTTGAGCCAACAAGACCACTGGCTCAACCATGTCCCCTTGTGCAGAAGCCCCAATCTTTATGAGCCAGTCTCTTGAGGCAGTAAGGGTAGACTCTGATGCCTGGTTTCAAAGTCCAGCTGCCCATCTTGCTAGTTGTGGCCTTTGGGAAAGTTACTTAACCTCTATGTGCCTCATATTTCTCATCTGTAAAATGGGAATGATAAGAACACCTGTTCCTTTGTTGTAAAGATTAAATGAGTTAATGTACATGTGCATGATGACAAAAGCATTTAGCATTTAGCTCAATGAATGTCAGCTCTCTGTCTATGTTATTATATCCTCTCTCCTTTGTGTTCAGAGGAGAGCGCTCACCCACTCCACCCTACAAGAATACTGCCCTCTCCAAGGAGCCAACTTCCTTTCTTCTCTTATGTTTCCTTCTTATGTCACCTGAGGGTGAGAATGGCAGTGTCAGGGCCAGTTCTGGCATTTCCCAGCATGCGCTGTGGAGCGGCAGCTGGCCTCTTGCTGGCCTTTCTTTGAGTTTCGAATGTGGGGTGCTTGGAGCCTTTCGTTCTCGGCTTTGGGCTCAGCCATCATTCTGGGACAAGAGGAAGAAGCCCATTTGGCAGGCTGTCTTGCCACTGTGTGAAGCTTAAACATTCAGCTTTCCAAAGTGGCTTGCTTTCTGCGTGATGAGAGAAAGTATTCACCTCACCCAGTTTAACACAGTGTTTGTCAGAGGGCAGGAAGCCTTGGCTCACTCTAGTATTATGTAAGGATCCAAAAATCTTTTTTTTTTTTAACTCCTATGAACACAGCGCTCTCTAATCCAGCCCCTCTCCTGCCTATTCTCCAGGGGATTGAGTGGGTCATAATATTTTTAAAAATCATAGTTTTAAATATCTAGTAGATATTTTAAACCTCACATTGCCAGAACTTTCTGCTATCACAGTGTCAGTCTCATTTCCCCAAGGCAGGCTCCTTAACTAATTTGCCATAAGTTGAGCTACTGGTGCTTGTTTGAGGTTTGTTTACTTGTTGGGGTTCTGGTTTTTTCAGCTGAAAGCTTTCCTCTGGATCTGAAGTTGTGTTTGGCATTTTCCTCTGGGAGGAAGGAACATTTTTAAAAACACAAACAAACTTGCAGTTGGCATAAAATAAAAACAAATAGAAAATGTTGGCTGAAAACTCCATATTAACAAAGTTTTCCAGAGGCAAATGTTATAGCTAATCATTTCCATGTTTGCCTGGAAAACAGTCTGAACCTTCTGAGTCTTTACTATTCAGCTCTGTGGAAGGAGATTAAATGTAAGCAAAGAGCTCCCTTCCTGACAACGAGGTTAAAATCTGCTTACTTTAATGAGAAGTGTTGTACGACATACTTGACCGCAAGGTGTAAGCTTTTGAACAACATTGAACTAATTTCAAGTAATCATTTTCCCATTGTTTTTCTTCTTGGTTAATTGCCAAACAGGATCTTTTCTATAATCCAGCACATACAAAAAAACACTTGGGCTTCTGAATCTCAAAAATAAATATGTGAATAAAGCTTAAATCATGACAAAGATGAGCATCTCGCCGGAGCAGTAGTGTAGGATTGGTCTCAACCTGCTGAGGGCTTTAGAAAGTGACAGACGTTCTTTCTTTTCTTTCCTCTTCTGACTCCTATTGGCTATTCGATCTATTTTAATGTGCAGTGTATTTTATTTGTAACAAAACAGAATTGTAAATAATTTGGCATCAAAATAATGAAAAGAAAGAACTTAAAAAGATGCTAAAAGAATGGAATTATCCAATCAGGAACAGAAAATGTTGTCTTGGAAAGAAATTAATGAAACGATAAGGGTAAAATGTGAAAGCTAGCGATGTTAAATTATAGCATTTTCGCTCAAAACTCTGTGACTGGGTCTTCTTGAGACTATCTCTTTATAGTGGCCCCTACTTCAACCATCCTAAAACATAGCTTCCTGGGCATGTAAACAATAGTGAAGTCCATACTTGCCATATTCTCTAAGTCTGTACAGATCGGCCCAGTTGAGACCCAACGGATATTAATTTATCTCACCCTCAAGTGGCTTAAGAAATAGCTACTACTTTTTGGTGACAAACCGATAGCTATGTTGGCACAGTGGTTGAAGAAATATGACAGCAAAGAGGAGTGCAGGGATAAAAGGCGTGTAGGAGCTTGCAGCTTTTAGCAAAAACATCTAAGAATGCCTGGACTGTTAGAAATTTCAGTGGGTTAGTAAACAATCTGTTGAGACTGGGAGGTTATAAGAATCTAACAAGATTACTATTTTGAGTTCATTTTCAGATGTTCAGAACAATTTATAATGCTCTAAGTCAAGATAACGCACATTGAATTATTTGTTTGGTGTTACATATTTCTGCTTTTGTTTTAGCTTCATAGGAGAGGTAAGTTCTGCTATTCTGTCTGATAAAGCTGTAAGTTCCACTTATACTACTGTAATTGACTGAACACATATCATTTTTGGTTGCCCCAAAAATCAGATATGAGAAACCAGATCCCTATTTCACTCCCTTGTTTTTTCCATGATCAGATCAAGGAGTCACATGATGATTAGATAATAGGAAAGGAAATTAGACTTTCCTAATATCTCCTGGAAGATGTACAAGATGCAATTTTAAAAAGCTGATTCTCTACACCATGTGTTTATCTGTCTCCATTAGTATTGAGTAATCTTATTCAGGGGCCCCGATAAAAAAAAAAAAAGACATAACAAATGTTGCATTACCTTGTTTTGCAAACAGATTGTTCAGAGATTTTCAATGATGGGTATAAGCGCAGTGGATTTTACAAAATCAAACCTCTCGAGAGCCCAGCAGAATTCTCCGTTTATTGTGACATGTCTGATGGAGGAGGATGGACTGTAATTCAGAGACGATCTGATGGCAGTGAGAACTTCAACAGGTGTGCTGATTATGACCTAAGGATTTGGAGTAGTAAATGTGAGATTTATAATAAATAAGCCTTTTTTTTTTTTTGAGGAAGATTAGCCCTGAGCTAACATCTGCTGCCAATCCTCCTCTTTTAGCTGAGGAAGACTGGCCCTGAGCTAACATCTGTGCCCATCCTCCTCTACTTTATATGTGGGACGCCTACCACAGCATGGCTTACCAAAGCGGTACCATGTCTGCACCCGGGATCTGAACCGGCAAGCGCGGGCCGCCGAAGCAGAACGTGCGAATTTAAACGCTGCGCCACCGGGCCAGCCCCCCTAAATAAACCTTTTCATTGTATCCTGAAGTCTATTAATTAGACAGAATTTTATTCTGTCTAAATAAGAATACTGGACATGTATTAACTAATCAAGAAAATATCGGGGGTGGGAGTGGCAGTAGGGGGTGGGCACTTTGGGTACTGCAAAGGTCCATTTGGATTTTGCTAAAATCAACTTTCATTTTAAATTTTTTAGAGGCTGGAATGACTACAAAAATGGCTTTGGGAATTTTGTCCAAAAAAATGGTGAATATTGGCTGGGTAATAAAAATCTTCACTTATTAACCACACAAGGTAAGCTTTGCCTGATATTAAATTCATTTGAAATACACTAAAAAGAGACTAAAATGTTTTCCACTAAATCAAAGGCAATGGAACTAATTCAGTAACTACTATGGTTTGCAGATGGCGATGATCCCTTACAGCCAGTAATTCCCTCAGTAAAATGTGGCTGCTTAAAACTTTGAATAGAGGAAAAGAAACTAGATCTGGATTGGGTGTGGAGGATTTCTCATATATATATTTCCCATTTCTGGGAGGGATATATAATGCCATAACCATTCTTTTTTTAATGCTTCGAGAGCCTCAAACTCCATATACTGTATCAGTTATCTATTGCCACCATAATACTATGTAACAATCCACTTCAAAATTTAGTGGCTTAAAACCACAACCCTTTGTTTCTTACAAATCTACAAGTTGGCTGGGTAGTTTTGCTGGCTGATCAGGGCTGCACTATGCTGATCTTTGCTGGGCTCGCTCATGGGTCTGTGATCAGCTTCCTGGTCAGCTGGAGGCTGGCTCTGCTGGGTTGGCCTCAGACGGACCAGTTCAGCTCTGCTCCACATGGTCTCTCATCTTCAAGCGAGCTAGCCGGCACTCGTTCTTGTAGCACAGGCAGAGTTCCAAGAAAGAGAGGGGAAGCACGTAAGTCCCTTGAGATAGACTCACAACTGCCACATAGTCATTTTCACTGCCTTCTATTGGTGAAAGCAAGTGACAGGAACAGCTCAGATATAAGTGGAAAGAAAATAAAAGGGGAGGCATTATAAAGTCACATTGCAAAGGGAGAGGAGCAGAATTGGGGGATTGGGGCTATTTTTGCAATCAAATACCATGATATACTAAATGTCCTTGTTTCCATACCCACCTCCCAGATTTTATTTTGAAAAATTTTAAAGATGGAGCAAAACTGAAAGAAGTTCCAACCTCTCACCTAGATTCTACATTAACATTTCACTACGCTTGTTTTTATCCCATATCTATCCATCCACCCACTCATCAATCCATTTTATTATTTCTTTGACACACTTCATAATAAATTGCAGACATCTGTATAATTCCCCTTATATACTTTTGCATGGATATCTTTAACTAGATTTCAGTATTTGTCTAAAATATCGTTAGTTTGATAACAAATTGTTCAAGCCTCTTTTTCCCATGCTCCTTTGCTCCGAACCATTGCCTTCCTTACCTCAGTTGCAGTCTGAGATCATAGTCAGTCCCACTCAAATCTGATTCTGAATGTTTCATAAAAGGCAATTGTATTGCTCAAGAAAGCATGCTAAATCACACTGGCAACGCATTAAATGTGAGAGCAAGGTTTATTTGTTCCATTCAAGTTAAGGAAAGTGATTGATGTTTTGATATTCATAATAGTCAGTAGGATTATAATTATGGAGATCTTTGAGACATCAGAATAACAGCTTAGAGAGGATGGATAATCCTAGAAACCTAATACTTTGTCCTTCTTGTGATCAATGCTCTCTAAATTTTAACATTTGCATTATCCAACTTTTAAGCGTTTTACGATAGATATATAACATTTATCATACCAGCTTCTGTTTCTTTCATACATTAATATGTATATGGTTTCTTATTGAAACTATGACAGCCCTTGGCTCCTTCTAAATATACAAAATTCAATCTTATTGTTTTTCAAATTATTATGTGTTTATTCAGCCAGATGCACTTTGCCAACCCATCTACTTGCCCCTCATGTTTTGGTCGGTGTTCAGGCTAGATACTCTCTCAGTAGCAAAAATGTATTTGTCACTTCCAGGCTTCATAACCACATACCATATCATTCCAAGGTAAAACAGTGCCTTTGTCCCTGTACTCTTTAATTATGAGAGGACTTAAGACTAAGGAATTGCCTCTGAAAATAGCTTTATCTCTGTTACATAAATTTTGGCTGGAAGTGTTTGCAATAAAGTTAATTTAGAAATTGTCTATAATTACATTTTTATTTACTTATTGACCAAAGACATGTTTAGATTGTTACCTTAAAAACTGAGACTAATTTTGTATCTCTTCTGCAATACAAAGTACTTTGGGGGAGAGTTAACTTAACCTGCCTTGCTCCTCTGGTCCACTTCATAGTCTTGGCTCACATGACCTTTACTGACTTTTGATCAGGTTAGGACTCCTTCCTTGGAACCCCACTGCAGAGAGCTCCAGGGGATAAGAAATCTGTAGGCCAAAGTGCCAAGGCCAGCAGGAGCCCAGACCCCTCCTAGACTCACTCCAGTAGTGGGGAATCCAGTATTCCTAGCCCAAATAGCCTTGAGCTTGTCTCTAGAACCCGTTCATGCCTCTTCTTCATCTGTCCCCCTGTGGAAAGATTGTGTTGCTGGTATGTATACCCCTAAGCCTGAGAGGAGGTGAAGGAACAGCTTTTATGGTGGGTGTTAATGAGCTTGGATATGCAGCTTGGAATGTCCACTAGTGTGGACAAGGCTCCATGCTGTGTGTGATGGAGACAGGGATGCGAAGAGAAGAGAGGCCGACCATAGACCAGGCCTGTTGGTGCGGCCCAGGGGCTCACTCCCTGGGCCTCCATGTTCTAGCTTGGACCCTGAGAAGTTTAAGGCTCAATTCAAATCTCGTCTTATAGGTCACTGTGAAATTTTATTTATCGAAGTAGGAGGATAGAACATATATCATCTAACAGTTAGTTTGATTTATAACTTTCTATGTTCCTGACAATAGTTCTGTTTCTGAAAAAGAAATAGTCTTTGTTATTTGTACATGATGGTACAATGAGGAAAAGATGATGGTATAATGAGGAAAAGATGATGACTTGAAAATACCAATTATTTTAGTCATTATTTGTATTTAAGATAAACTTTCTTACTGAAATTAAGAAAAAGAGGATAAAAGTTTCAATTTCTTAAACTTATTCTTTCACTGTGAGATTTCTTAATCTGTTAACTAAATATGACTTATTTTCTGTTGTTCTTTTCCAGTGAATTACACTCGCTTTTGCCTATGATAGATCTAGTAGAAATTTTCTACCTTTAGTATTGTGTCCCCAATTTTTTTCAAATAAAATACCTAATAAAATGTTCGTGTTGTAAACACAATGGAGTCACTGTTTATTCTTTGAAAATGGACTCATGGCAGGAGGAAACGGTCTAAGTAAAATAGAGCCATGAGTTATTTTTAAACCTCAGTAAGTCAATGTCATCTCACAAATTTAAAAAACTACAATTTCTTTTTTTTTTCAGGAGACTATACTTTAAAAATCGACCTTGCAGATTTTGAAAAGAATAGCCGTTATGCACAATATAAAAATTTCAAAGTTGGAGATGAAAAGGTACTAAAATTTTCAAATAAGTAACATCATAAGTTAATGTGTAAAACATACAATATAAACCCTGAAGTCGGTTGAAACAAAAATATAGAATAGAACCTATTCTCTTGTTTATTAAATTAATATATTTTTTTAAATGGTGACAACTGATAGTAGAAGTTGCCTCTTTTCCTTTAGAATTCCTATGAGTTGAATATCGGGGAATATTCTGGAACAGCTGGAGACTCCCTTACAGGGAAATTTCATCCTGAGGTGCAATGGTGGGGTAGTCACCAAAGAATGAAATTCAGCACGTGGGACAAAGATAATGACAACTACGAAGGGAACTGTGCAGAAGAAGATCAGTCTGGCTGGTGGTTTAACAGGTTGGACACTTTATAAACATAGTTGTAATGGCATTGATGATATCTCACTGGTGGGCATTAATTAGAATATATGAGGTAATGTTGGTCTTCTTTGTAACACTGGTATTATTAAGCAATCATCCTTATTGGAATTCTTCAGTGATGAAGTATTTTTGAGGATTTGTTTGTTGTGTACATTAGTAAAGCTTGAAAGAGATGTCACAGAAATAAATCAAACTACTACTTCTACAAAGGTTATTTGCAAACTGAATTATGGGTGAGTCATCATAAATAGTATGCCACAAATTGACATGAAGAAATAGAAGCATTTACACATGGGAAAAATATTTTTGGCATTCTAATAGCCAAGTCGCTCTTCATCTTCTCCTATCATACAAAATGACCATATTATTGTAAATTTGTCAATGTAATACTACTTTTCAATTACTATGACTTTCATTAAATCATTGAATCCAAGCTTCTCCCAATACAGAAATTTCTTCTACAATATCCTGAAGCTTAATTGCACCCTCGAATTGAACCCTTCAATGTTACTTTATCAGTAAGCTTATTCCATTTTTGATGGTACTGAGTTTTTCCTTTTATTAACCTGAAATCTACCATCTTATACTTCGCTAGGTATTTTCCTCAGTAGCTACACAGTAATTGTAATTCCTTTTCAACATAATTCTTCGGGCACTGGATGAGAAGATATTCATTGTATTCCTCAGTATTTTCTCTAGGCCAGATATTTCTCCACCAAGATGGTTTCCAGACAGCTCCCTTTGCTGTAATCGCAAATTTAAGGCAGGAATGGAAACTTCAACCAGGCTTCCTTAAAAATATCCTGATGAGCTCGCTATGTCTGCAAAGCAGATGTGCTCAAACAGGCGGTGCATGAGCTTTGAACGTCTTCTTTTCTCTTTGAAAGAGAGGGGGCACCTAAAATATCTAGACATTCAAGGTTTCCATTATAGAATCTTTGAGTAAGTATTTCTGGAGTGTCAGGTTTTCGTGTAATTGAGGACTATCCATTTAAGTTCCACAATCCAAATTTTAATGTTTTTATTTGTTATGTAACTACTTTTAAAGCATTTCAGCGTCCTCTATCTTATTAAGTGGAGGAATACCAGACACGTGTATTAGTTTTCCTTAAAATCATGGCCGTCCTCATTATGAACATCCGTTATTGGGATGTGCTGATTTTAGAGCTGTAGATTCTATCGAGACACAGCTGGTTAGTGTGGTGTGTGGTGTGTCAAGTTGAATCTAAGTAGTTGTGAAAACAGTATTTTCTCTGGATTTTGCTTTTTTAAAAGTTTGAGTCCATTTACTTTTTGGTCATTTGTTCGGGCAGTAGAGCACACACAGCAGTGAGGGGCTTAGAGAAACAAAGGCATCTTTCCTATTTAGCCAATCAAAGGTGATACTAGTCTTTTCCCTAGTGATTTTCTTGTTCTTTTAAAAACCATCTTCATCATTTTCTCTTCCTCCTCCTTTTTCGTCCCCTGTCCTTCTAAGCATTATGTAAAAATTATCAGCATTATGTAAAACTTAACTATAATTCATGAAGTTGCAAGCATCCCTTAATGTCTGATTTTTGAACAGAATTCCACATACAGAAGTAACAATCACATCAGTTAATATTACCATGAGCTCAAAACCATGTACCTACCCAGGTGATTGGCTTGACAACTGGCACATATATTAATGTAGGCAAATAAATGATTTACTTGACTTTAAAGATAGGTGTTCAGAGAGGACAAAGAAAGGCAATTCAGCAGCTGGAACCACCCAAGGAGCCTGCATTATCCTTGGAGTTAAAGATGATAAGGCTGTGCAGGTGGAAAGTCAGAAAAGCTGGAGAAGAAGCCAATTGTTTCAGAAGCTTGGCGCTACTTCTACCATGCCCACTACAACTGTAGTTTAACTCTGTCCTTCTCTTCCTCCCTACTCTTTTTCTTTTATGTCCTGTAGTTCTTCTAATTTACGTGAAATGTTGGCACTTTATAATTATTACCTACTTACAAGGCATTTTTTTTTAAAGATTTTATTTTTTCCTTTTTCTCCCCAAAGCCCCCTGGTACATAGTTGTATATTCTTTGTTGTGGGTCCTTCTAGTTGTGGCATGTGGGACGCTGCCTCAGCGTGGCTTGATGAGCAGTGTCGTGTCTGCGCCCAGGATTCGAACCAACGAAACACTGGGCCGCCTGCAGCAGAGCGGGCGAACCCAACTGCTCGGCCACGGGGCCAGCCCCACAAGGCATTTTTTTAATCTAATCACTGAGTGCTGATATCTTTTTTACTTTGCTGGTGTAGCATCTCATGTGAGCGCTCACAGTTACTTCTTCACCAAAGGAGCCCCAACCATCTCACAATCTAGTTTCAAATCCAGGCTGTTCTAGAAACTGAAAGATGCTAGAAACTTGGTTTTAGAATAGCTAAGTTTTCGTACGTTGACCATAGAATCAGTTTCCTAATGGGATTCAAATCACAGATCAAATTTAAAAAGCATATGAAGCAGATGTCTCTAGGAGGACAGAGATACGCCAAAATATATCTTCTGGTGGCTCAATTTAGAGTATGTTCTGTTTGACATTGCTTTCCAAGCAGTTTTAAAAACACAGGAAGCTCTTGACACTTGCAGATTTAGCATCCGTGGTTTTGATTAGTTACATCCTATTAAATCTGGAGGACTGTCAAGATGGTCAGCAGGCGTGAATCACTCAGCTGGTGAGTGATCAAGACAATCACTCAGCATTTATGGGTAAATGATAAGCTTTTCTAATTCAATAATTTGGGTACTTTCCATAGATTTTCAGAACTATCCCTTGTGAATGTTCTTTTTATATCCTAATGTCTGACATCTTTTCATTGGTTCTATCAATAAAGAAATATGTAGTAACTCATTTCATAACTATACACAGAAAATTATCAATACTCTTAGTTGATCCCTATCAGGGACAGCGTTTACTGATTCCAAAGAAGGAAGTGGGACATTTAAAAATTTATGATAACCTAGCCAACTTATCTAGATAGGAGCAATATACGTAAAAAATTAACTCAGCAACTCAGACAAGTGATTATTGGTTGGTGGCTGGGAAAATTTTAAATGGTGGTTTAGGATTTCTTTTCTTACCCTTGAGGTTGAAATAATTGATATGCTAGCAATTTTAAAAAGGGGAGGAAAGGAGTTTGAATTTCGAAAGCTAAGTCTTGGCAGCAGATGGATGAACATGTAAGTGCAAATTATCTGGGCAGCTGGCATCAGAGCACCCTGCCACACCTTGCTTTGTTAACCCATGTCACTCCTGTGAAGGCTGAAGGTCACAAGGTCATGCTTTTGTTGGCTTGCTGAATGATGCTTTCACTGTATGGCGATGCACAGAAAACTATTACAAAAATCCAACTTATTACTAAAATTTTTCTTTTTTTGTTTAAAGGCTATTGAGAACAGAAATGCTTCTTTTTCAATGCACTACAAGTGGCCTGGGTTATATCCTGAAATTTGTTATGGCACTAAAACCCACCAGTTTAAAAACCCATCTATTGTAGAAATCTCTTGGCTTTTGGAAATTGATAAAAATTCCCTTGTCTGAAAAATGGCAGAATTCATCATTAAAATGTTTTGATAATTTGCTGGCAAAATAAAAGTGTTTGGGAAGGATATTTTTCTAGTTTGATTATTCTGTGTTTCTTTTTCCTCCCACTAGGTGTCACTCTGCCAACCTGAATGGTTTATACTACACTGGCTCTTACACGGCTGAAACAGACAATGGCGTTGTCTGGCACACCTGGCATGGATGGTGGTATTCTTTGAAATCTGTGGTTATGAAAATTAGGCCAAATGATTTTATTCCAAATATTGTTTAAGTGTCCCTGTTGGGCTTTCATTTCTACAATTCATCTTGATTGAAAGTGATTTGAAAAATAGGAATTCTGAACAGATACATGTGTGATGATGGCAATTGTGGTGTCCTACTTTTCGCTCTTACTTGCCTTTTATTACTTAATGTACTTTCAGTACAGCAAATATGTGATATTCACCAAATAAAGGCAGATTATCTTAATATTTATTGAATTCCTACGTGCAGAGGGCTATAAGAGCTTATGTTGAACAAAAAATAAAAAGCATAGAATATATACCATGACTTGGGAGATAACACAATTATAATGTGCAATAAATTATGAATGCAGTTGAAAAAACACGTGAAAAAATCCAGCAAATAATGGATTGCCAAATCAACTGCATAGACAGTGAATATTATGAGTTGGGATTTGAACTCAGGTCTCTGACTGCAGAGCTGGAGCTCATAAACACAACCCAGAATCTTCATCACTATAAAACACTATCTCATATTTTTAGGATGTTTACGTAGGTTATACACTTCTTTTGGGAGTCTCATTTTAATTCTTATACCAATGCTGTGAGGTATTATTATCCTCATTAACAGAGTTGAGAATTTGTGGATATGAGATTTTGTGACTGCTTAAAGTTACAAAGCTAATTAATAGAGGTGGAAGGTGAGGTGGAAGGAGAAAACTTCCAAATCAGAGTATGAGTATAGCAAGATATTCGCCCAAATATTTGAGTGCCAAGCAAGAGTCAGGCACAGAGGATACAGTTCAAGCCCATGTGAAGCTCAGTATTTTTGTTAAAGATATACACTAACCATATAATCACCAAAATATAAATAATTTTAAAAGCTGATAAGTATGAAGGGAAAATACGTGCCTGGGGGCCTGTCTTGGTTTGGGAGTAGGGGATGAGAAAAGCTTCCTGGAGGAAGAAACTTTTTAAGATGGGATCTTTTAACTAGTTAATGTAGGAGATCATTTCAGGCAGAGGGAAAACCTTGTGTAAAGTACACAAGGCAGGAAAATTTGTAGAAACAAAAGAAAAGTTAGAGAGGCAATATAGTTTAGTGATCCCTAACTTCTTAAACCAAGGATTCTGCCACTTAATAGCTGAGTGACCTTGAGTGGTTTATGTCTCTGAGCATCAGCTATTTCCTCTATAAGATGAAGATTATAATAGTACCTGCCTCACAGGGTTGGGTTGAAGATCACATAAGTAAAATACTTACAATGATGCCTTGCACAAAGCAGGCAGTCAATAAGAACTAGCTGTGATTATTAATGAAGTAGACATTAAGGGGCAGTAGTAAGAGATGTCTTGAAATAATGGTCATGTAAAGATGTTAAGGTTAGTTGCACTTTTCCTCTAACCAGTGTTTCCCAAAGCAGAGCTTCTCAACCTTGAAAGTCATACAAATCAGCTGGGGATCTTGTTAAATTATAGATTCTGATTCTGGAATGGGGCCTAAGATGATGGTTTCTTAACAAATTTCCAGATGACAGACATCAACACTCAGTGATTAGAGAAAGAATGCCTTGTAGGTAGGTAATAATTACGAAGATGTTGTTGGTCTAGGGATCACATTGAAAAGCAAGGATGCAGGGAACAGTAGCTCTGTGGGATAGTAATATTTATTTACTACAGGAAGAAAAGGGCTCCGTGATCAAATGAGCTTACGAGATGAGCTATTAAACAAAATTCAACAGATTTCTTCTCTTGAGTATTTCTCAGCTCCTTTAATATTCTAACGTGCATTCTGAAGTTCCAAGAGGCACATACAGGAGGTGGTTTTTTGGGTTTTTTTTCTGAGGAAGATTTGCCCTGAGCTAACATCTATGAGAAACTTCCTCTATTTTGTATGTGGGTTACTGCCACAGCATGACCACCAACAAGTGGTGTAGGTCTGCACCCGGGAACTCAACCCAGGCCAATGAAGCAGAGAGAGCCAAACTTAACTACTAGGCCATGAGGCCGGCCCAGGATGTTGTATTTTTATATCTTGCTATGAGTATGCTCAGCTGCGAGGTATAAATCACCAGATTATGGAAGTGCAAACACATAGGGATTTGTTCGTCTTATGGAACCAGAACTGAGGGGGTAGGAAGTTGCTGGGTAGGTTCAGCACTTTGCATTGTGGAAGCTGTTACCTCTGCAATTCTTTTTGCCCTTCCATCAAAATCACAAGTTGTCTACTGCAGTTCCTACCTCGAGTCCACGTTAAAGCAGAAAGAACAGTGAAGAGTCAACAGACTTCAACTGATGCCTCATTGACATATGTTGTTCATATGTGCCCTCTGTCTGGGAGTAAGACCGTGAAAGAGAATATTTAATTTTACAGTCTTCAGAATGTGCAGGCAAGAGAAGTGTTTGCGATGGTTCCTGAACATTTGCTTTTTAATGCGGCCTTTGGGAATAGTCTTCCATAGATCACACTTTGGGAAGGTATAAAAAATGGGGCACCAGTGATAATTTTAAATACAGGTATTATTTGCTCAAGTAGTAGCCTGAAGAACTCATACAATTAGGAGATCAAAAGAAGAAAAGCTTGTAAAGGAGAAAAAAAAGATTCCAAAGACAAGTGGGAAGGGAGCAAAAAAAGTATAGTGTTACATAAATCTCAGTATAATTGTTTTTAAATGTAGAAGGAATAATAAAAAAAAATTTTAGTGCCATAAAAAGATAGACAAGAAGGAGTTCTAATGAAAGACTGTTCGTTTTAGTGAGAACGTTATTTGTGTGTTTAAGTCCCTTTCAATGGACTGGTGGGGAGAATAGCCAGAGGCCAGGAAATAAAAGCAGTTAGGGACAATAGGTAGGTTTGAGGAGTTTAGATATAAAGGAGAGAAACTGGATGGTTTACCTGAAGCCGAAATATCAGGAAGACCCCAGTGTAAAATACATTCCTCTGAAATTTCACCAGTAGAGCGTTAGTTACTAGGCTTTATCAGTTTTTAAAATGCAAATTTGCTTTTCATTTATATCAGCTGATTACACATCAGGGCCAACAAACTCATGAGTGCTTTTTTTTTTTTTAAGTAGACCAAAATATAGAGAAAATGCAAGAATGCTGAGTGCCTGACATGGGCAGAAGAGGTTTCCACTAGGAGACAGAAAGGTTTTTTTTTTTTTGAGGAAGATTATCCCTGAGCTAACATCTGCTGCCAATCCTCCACTTTTTGCTGAGGAAGACTGGCCCTGAGGCAACATCTGTGCCCATCTTCCTCTACTTTCTATGTGGGGCGCCTGCCACAGCATGGCTTGACAAGTGGTGCCATGTCCACACCCAGGATCTGAACCAGAGAACCCCGGGCCTCTGAATCAGAATGTGCACACTTAACCACTGTGCCACCTGGCTGGCCCCATCAGAAAGTATTTTTAAGAAAAGGGGGAAGGGGGACAGTCCTGTGGCCTAGTGGTTGTTTGGTGTGCTCCGCTCTGTCAGCCCAGGGTTTGGTTCCCAGGCCTGGACCTATACCACTCATCAGCAGCCATGCTGTGGCAGTGACCCACATACAAAATAGAGGAAGATTGGCACAGATGTTAGCTCAGGGACAATCTTCCTTTGCAACAAAAAAGGGTCAGGGTGTTCCTGAAAACACCAATTTCACAAATTTCCCCAAGAACTATAGTTTCAGAAAGGCTATGAATTATAAAATCAAGATCCATCCATACAGCCCATAATCTATCATTCAGCCAGCACCAAATTAGTTGGGGAGAAAGACAAATCAACATATAGGCAGTTACTCTACTCTGAGTGATAAACAAGATGGTTCAATGTTCGGCTTTTGCCCAAGAAGATTATAGTCAGGCTACTTGGGGTTTCCATTTTATCTTTGCCATTTTTTTGGTGGCAAATTACTTTTCATCTCGTTGCTGACTGTTCTCATCTCTATAATGTGAGTAATGATGCAGCTATCCCACAGCAGTGTGGTGAGGATTCAGTGGGATACTGTGGTGCTTGGCACATACTCAAGGCTCCATAAATATTTACAGTGATGATAATATTGATGATGCTAATGGAGAAGAAGATAAAAAAGGAATGTGGTAATGGAGTACTGGAGTGCTGTGTGACCTTCGCCAAGAATTGAAGGTATGAGAAGAGAGGAGATGTTCAGAGAAGATTTTCCAGACAAGATAGCATATAAAATGAATGACTCTGGATAAACTATATTTTTTTAAGAGCTGAGCAGTCCAGGTTCTTAATATTACTGGGATTTAAAATACTCAAAAATTAGAAGTTGGAACCTGGTTTAGAGATGAGCTGGTCCGATGGTTTCTAAACTGGGCTCAGGGGACCCTTCGATTCTGACAATGGGGCCTCCGGGTCTCCCCAGGGAACAGGAAGATCCCCTTTGTCCTTTCATTCAGCACTGCCCAGTTTTTATCTCTTTTGTGTATTTGGGTTCCACATAATACTTTGTGACTTTGGGGAAAAGAAAGCTCTTCTCTAAAAGAAGGTTTAGACCTCTCCTTTTATTTTCCAGATCAAGAAATTTTCTGCATTTTTCAGACAACAGATATTTTTGGGGAAGGTCTTTGTTACTCCCTTGACTCAGATGAATTAACAAGCAGTGTAAACCCGAGACTGTATCCTGTGTTCTAAGGAATGTCAGCACTTCATTTAGAATACCGCCTTAAAGGGCACACACACCCAGCAAAAACTATGCTCTATGGTGGGCAAGTCCGAGACAAGCTTCAACCTTTCAAAGAGGATAAAAGGGGGAATTAGGCTTCAGTCATAACAAGCCAACTTCGTCTCTTGGAGAAAATGACACAGGGTATTGTCTCATTAACTAAACTCCTAGGGTGTTGGCACCATTTGCAGTTTCTAGGCCTTTCTAATTATAGACGTGCTGTGTAACACTGCCTCCACCTGCACCTATAACAATAACAATATTCAGCACTTACCATTATCAGAGACCTTTCCAGCTTGAACTAATTAATTCATACAATTCCAGCCATCTGGGACAGAGAGTATTATTATCCAGGTTTTATAGACACAGAAAACTTCAAAAGAGGTTTCTGCAAGGTCACGTAGCAGTTGGAATGGGGCCAGGGAGTTATCTTAGAAGTACGAGGTTTTTAAGTTCTTTAGAAGATGAAGATCTTAGTTTAGATTTGGGGGTAATTTGGTTTTTTTCTTCAGGTGCTAAACAGATAGCCCTTTTCTGGGTCCTAGCTCACTTTTTGGTTACTGCTGTGGCTTCTCCCTCGGAAGGAATGATTATACTCTTAGGAATTATCACGCATGTCATAATTCCTTGGAATACTGGGGAGTTCTGGAGCTCTTAAATGTGGCTACCACAGGCCAGCTGTTTCATCTCTTTTACTCTCCTCCTTATTACACCTACAGGATCTCTTTTCAGTTGAGTGATGTTAGAACACACAGCTCTTGAAACGTAAAATGAAACCTCAGAAAAGTCAGCTCGCTATAAAGGCTCCTCTGTCACTTTCTGGTGACCAACTAACGAATGCAGAGTCTTAGGAATCACACACTCCTCAAAGAAGGTCCCTTAGAGACAAAACCAGCTTTTCAATCACTAGTTTTTAAAAATCATCAAAAACAGCCCGTGTTTCCCTGGTGATGAGAAAGTTAAATATGAAACAACACTAAGTAGCCCACTGGTGGAAAATCACCATTTCCTTTCAATTTTTGCCCCATCCTAATAGTTGTGGTTTGAAAGAGGATTATATGCTCGTGTATTCACTCATGTTGAAGAGGCAGGAAATCATATATTTAAAAAAAATAATATCTTTTAAAAAGTCAAAAACTGATAGACTTTTATATAGGCAACGATTATGCAAAATAAAACAATGTCAAATTAAAAGGAAATCTTAACAAGTGTTCTGTGTTGACTTAGAGACCAGTAGGACCAGAAAAAGAATAGTTCTGAAAACTTTTAGAATATGTAAGGAATTTTGTGAATATGATTAAGAACTTTTTATAAATAGGGATCTTTTATAACCTGGGTTCAAAGAACATCTGCATATTGTTCGTATGTGAGTTGGTATATAGTAGGATGTGTAACTCAGAGGAACTAGGATTTTGGAAGGACAATGTGGTTTACTCTCAAGGCTGGTGGGTTTTTTTCCCTTTGGTGAGGAAGATTGGCCCTGAGCTAACACCTTTGCTAATCTCCCTCTATTTTGTATGTGGGATGCCTCCACAGCATGGTTTGATGAGTGATATGTAGGTCCATGCCCGGGATCGGAATCCATGAACCCCAGGCTGCGGAAGTGGAGCGCACAATCTTAACCACTATGCTGCTGGGCTGGCCCCTCCATGCTGTTTTTAATATCAAGTGGTAGGCCTAGTCCACTTAATTTTTTATTTATTTATTTATTTTGGTGAGGAAGATTAGCCATGAGCTTAACATCTGCTGCCAATCCTCCTCTTTTTGCTGAGGAAGATTGGCCCTGAGCTAAGCTCTGTGCTCATCTTCCTCTCTTTTATATGTGGGATGCCTGCCACAGTATGGCTTGATGAGTGATGCTAGGTCTGCGCCCAGGATCTGAACTGGTGAACCCTAGGCCGCTGAAGTGGAGCACACTACCTTAACGACTATGCCACCAGGCTGGCCCCTAGGCCACTTAATTTTTAACAAGTACCATAAATAAAGCTGATTCACACTAAAGTTTAAAGATCCTTGGTGTCATTCCTCAACACTCTTCTGACTCAGAGAAGCTGAGCAATTTGACATATTAAGGACAATCTTCCAGGATGGACCTGAACATGAGAAAAGTTTATGTGGAAAGTTCAGATCTATATTCTCCTACAGTTTTCTGAAACAGAGCACAAAAAGAGCAATTCCAGAATGATTACAGCCTGCAGATGGCTATCGGGTGTGCTCCCCAGATTCTTCAGCAACCCCTTGAGGATCAGATGCCCAAGACGGGACGCTTAGACAGCTGGTGAGCTGTCCACACTCATTCCTTCAGTCAGCAAGCCTGGATCGGAGTACCTGCCAAGGGCGCATGAACACCAGCTGTCCTTCTCCTTGACTCATAATTTAATAAAAGTCTAACCCTGGAGCTCATCGATACTTCAGTTTTTGCATAGGAACATATTCATCAAAGCCAAAGTTAGGGTGACACCCCACTTCTCTTTACACCGCCTTCACCATGGCCCAAAACTTTCTAAAAGAGTCTATTTAGAGACTAAAACTTTTCCATTGCTGGACACAGGCCCAGGTGAAAAAAAAATTGTTTTTTTTAACGTAAAGTGTGGGGCAGTCATTCTGGCCATTTTGAGTCACTCTTTTTTTCCTGTATCCATAAATAAAACCTGCTAAAACACAGTCTTCCACTCCAAGATGTGACAAGTCTTCAGTGAAGAATACTTTCTGGGCCAGAGAGCACATAAAATATAAATATTTTAATAGTTTAAAATAAATATTTGTATATTTTACCTGAAAAATATTTTGTTCAAATTTCCTAAAGTAACAGAAAGAAAACATAAGAAGCCTTCTTTTGTGTTAGGAGGGGATTTTTTGAAGTGGTTGATCCAAAAAGGATCCAGCAGTGGTGGGATGTGAAGATACTTTTGTTAGCTATTTTTTGTTTTTTTTGGAAGATTAGCCCTGTGCTAACATCTGCTGCCAATTCTCCCCTTTTTGCTGAGGAAGACTGGCCCTGAGCTAACATCTGTGCCCATCTTCCTCTACTTTATATGTGGGATGCCTGCCACAGCATGGTTTGACAAGCAGTGTGTAGGGGCACACCCAGGATCTGCGCTGGTGAACCCCAGGCCACCGAAGCAGAACATGAGAACTTAACCGCTGCACCACTGGGCCAGCCCCAGCTTTTTTTTTTTTCCTCCCCAAAGCCCCAGTGCATGGTTGTATATTCTAGTTGTAAGTCTTTCTAGTTCTTCTATGTGAGCTGCCACCACAGCATGGCTACTGGCAGACAAGTGGTGTGGTTCCAAGACAAGCAACTGAACCCCAGGCCACCAAAGGAGAATGTGCTAAACTTTAACCACTAGGCCAGCAGGGCTGGCTCTCTTGCTAGCTTTTTCTAGCACTGGCGTTTATGAGTTTGACAGGAATGGGCGTACTAGACCTGAGGCCGTACCAGAACTGAGGCCCTTTACGGTGTGGCTGTGACTTGGGTTCTGTCATCTTGGTAAGACACTCTGGCTGCTGTTTGCAGAAATGGCTACAATTTGGGCCTCTTCTCCCTGCCTCCACAAAGTGGGTTCTAACAGAGTAAGTGCCTCGTTCTAATTGCTCCCAGGCAGCTTTATGCGTCTGCTCCTGCTGCTTCCCAGGCAGGATTGTACTGTGAATTCATATGGCTTTGCATACCCTGAGTAGTTGTAGCGGCAAAGGACGCCACTCACAGACAACTTTCTTCACAGATCAAATCCTAGTGAATCCAGCCTTTTCCTCTCCTGCCTTTAGTCCTTCCTCCCTAAGGGGCTGGCCCAGTGGACTCCCCAGATGTTGGCCCCGAGGCCTTCATGCCTCACCACTGCTTGGCATTCTCTGCCTCAGGCTGCTCAGCATCTTCAGAGGGCTCCATGTATGGGCCTGGGGACGAGTTCAGTCACTGGGAAGTGACTGTTAGGGACTTAGTCCCTCAGGCCCATTCTCTCTCAAACCTTCTCAGGTGTTGATTCCCCAAAGCCTCCTTAGGTGCTAAGAAGGAAGTGCTGGAATGTCTTCCCTTCCTTCTCACGTAATGGAAACGCCCTTCAATAATCAAGCAACCACAGGGTTTATCCTGGCTCTAACTTTACTGATGGGAATTTCTGGACAGAAAGGAAGAGAGCTGTGACTAGACGCACCTATAAATCACATCAGAGACACTGACACCTCCTTTTTTCAGGGTTCCACATCACCTCAGGCACACGGCACCTCACTGTCAGGAGAACTCATTTCAACGTTTTCTTTTAGATTTTTTGTTTTTTCCTTTTTCTCCCCAAAGCGCCCCCAGTACACAGTTGTGTATTTTTAGTGGTGGGTCCTTCTAGTGTGGCATGTGGGATGCTGCCTCAGCAGGGCTTGATGAGTGGTGCTGTGTCCATGCCCAGGGTTTGAACCGGTGAAACCCTAGGCCGCTGAAGTAGAGTGCGCAAACTTAACCACTTGGCCATGGGGCCGGCCCCTCAAGATTTTCTATTAATTATCATTTGGAAGTGTTGCTACCAAAGCTAAGCTGGAAACTGAATATCAAGTTTGTAAAATCCAGTAAAATTTATGGTCTTGAAGGTAGCTGTCCCTCTGTGGTTAGCACAGCAGCTGTTACCAAAGAATGAATATGTGTTAACCAAAGACCAATTAAGAAAGGATATGAGGTACATATAAAAACACACACAACATAAATAGAACCAAAATCTTCCAGGCCATTAGTGTTTGGTTTAAGGTCAGAGTCACTGCAACCTCCTGAAAGGCACGCTTGTTCTCTAAATAGGTTTTCTTGGTCCAGACTGTTGGATGACATGTAACTGCCAAGGCAGCAGAATTCACTGGAAGTTTCCAGCATCAGGTTTCCTTGGAACAGGTTCATACATGGCTTCAGTCTTCTAAAGCTGATTACTTTGCTGTGGTGGGTGCTGACTCTGCATGGTAACCCATCCATCCTCTTGCATAATGTTCCCAATGGTTGTACAGTTGGAGGCGTACATGGAGCACACACTTGACCAAGCTGTTGTGTTTAATAATCCTTTTTCCTGATGTTCATTAGACTCAACTTATACTACAACCCTTTAGCTGGATAGTTTGGAATAAGCAGGCCTCTGGGAAAGAAGATGGGCTTATTAACCTCTGTGGGCTTCTACCGAAATTTTCATGTGACGTTATGGTACAGTGATCTTTGTCATCTACAGTTACCTTTAAAAAGCACTATAAAGGGACTAATTCATCATATGTACTTGACAAACATTTTGAATAACAGATAAGTTATTAGTCACGACAACAAAATAATAAAAAATTCACCTATGCAGAGTTCATAGTCAAATGCAGGAAAGCAATAAAATAATTAGAATAAATTAGAATCAAAAGACAATAAAATAATTAGAAAACCTTTGTGCTTTGTCTTACAATAGCAGTCTGTAAAGCTGCTATGGAAGTTCCAAAGAATGAGCTTCTAGTTAGATCTGTACTGGGACAATCAGTTGGACAGAATTAATATAATACTATTCACAAAGATGACATAGCTACCAAAAATAAGCTAATATGATTTTAGGGTCTATTAATAGAAGTATGACATCTAGAATCTAAAATAGTAGATATAGGTAGTGACTACTTTGGACTTCTGTAATTGCATATGGAATATTGGGTTCATCTTGGGACCAAAATTAAAAGAATATTAATAAACCATAAGCTCAGTCAGAAGAGACCATCCACAGTGGACAAGGTGAGTCATATTTAGCTCAAGTGGGAGATCCAGAGAGAACTCCAGGAGTCACATGCTAGCAGTCAGCAAATATCTGAAGAGTTTTTTTGGAAAGATGTATTGTATTTACTCTATAAGACCTCAAGAATACAATTAATTAATTAATTAAAACACACGATGGATGGGAACTGCAAGTATGCTAATTTTGACTAAAGCTGGAAAGAACCTCTCAAGAATCAGAGCGACCTGAAAGATAAAATAAGCTGCCTCTTGAGTTGATAAGATTATCTTCACAGGGTTTACTTAATTGAGGCTGGATCTTTTGTGGAGAATATTGTAAATGCACAAAAGCATCATCTGGGTAGTTAAACTAAGTGATATTTTTGGTGTCTCCCAAAACTTAGATTTTACGATTTGGAGTTGCAGTTTTAATATTACACATTATTTCCAAAACAACAATTAAAGTAGATGAGTGTTCTTTTAATCTGTGCCTTTCGATTGTCTCATGACTAATGCATGACAGTAGTGGATAATAAATGAATCACATAGCAAGTGACAATCTTAACATACTATACCAAAGTCTTGGAAGTTAATAGTAAAGGTCATTCTCTACCACCCAGAGAATCTTATGATTCAAAAGTGTTGGAGAAGGGCTGGCCTGGTGGGGTAGTGGTTAAGTTTGCATACTCTGCTTCGGTGGCCTGGGGTTCACAGGTTTGGATCCTGGGTGGAGACCTACACACCCCTCATCAAGCCACACTGTGGCAGCCTCCCAC